ACTGCACAAACATTCCACACATCTCTGAAGAGGTAAAACATCTGCTGACTTGAGCAGCACAGCTGATGGGAATTCACTGTTGTGCAGTTACCATTAGATCCCAATTACCTGTAACATTTCAGAAGAAATTACTAACAGTTTGAAGTTTTAACTAACTTCTTTCAAAATGTGTGCTTCTCATATGTTTCCACAGGAATGTAGAACCATATATTTGTGTTAATGCATCGGGAACTATTTCACAATAAAATGTACAGCAGGAAAAACTCAACTCCATGGAGTATCATGCACCCAAATATGTTACGTAAAAGTATCGCTTCTCTCGATAAAAACAAAAGGATAATCGCGGTATGCAAAACCACATCTTCTTTGACATAGCAAATGTCAATCTTATTCACTAATCTGCAGCTGTGACCTCATTGACACTAATGCAGTTTTGCCAATTTGCTTACTTGTATGCTTGCGTTAATTTCTAGCCTGTGTTCGGCACAGATGAGGTACAGTGCATTTTATTACGCTGCCATTTCATTGTCGAAAACAGGAGCTCACACATGGAACCTAATGTCTCATTGGTAAATGATTTGCATTTTCCTGTAGAAGCTAACAATTCTTAACTCAATCTATTCTCCTTTTTGTTCACCTTTCTTTTAAACCTCTGCTTTATGTGTTGACTTCTGTTGAAATTATAATTCCACCAGCAACAACAATTTTGGGTCGCTCATCATGGAAGTGTAGACAACGTTGGGAGGAAATTTAGCTGTGGAGAACGTATAAACCAATTCTGCCCTCAGCTTGGATTTACACACATGCCCCTTTCAGTTGCACTATCAGGAAGAGAAACTTTGGTTAATTTTTCTCTTGGTCAGTGTAGAGTACCAAGGCCAGTTTAGTGTTCAAATTCTTCTTGAACTGAGCAGCCAGCTACCACAGTTTGGGTATTGAATCTGGAGCTCTTTGGGCAGAATGGCTTCATCTTGCATCAAGGGTGGCCATTATCACGAAGCATTTGGAGAGTGGTCAAACAGAAAGTTAATCTCCCATTTGCACCCTCACCTTGTCTGTTGACAAAAATCTATGCAGTTTATGTAAATCATCTGGTTCCTAAATTTAATTAATTCTGAATCAGACTAGTTTTATTTGGATGACAGCAACATCATGTCACTCACTTTGCAGTCAGTGGTGCACAGATAGTACTTGACATTCAATTATTGCTTATTGCTGCCCACAGACTTTTTGTGTTCTTAAAAATGGCAATTTACATTCACTGGGAGTCTGAAGCAGTGCAATACCCAAGAGAGAGATTTGAGTCGCAATGGAATAGTGAAACCAATAGTATATCTCTTCAATCGGCTCAAGGAATTCCTACAAAGACATCAGAGTCTAAACCAGGAAGTTTAAGTTCAAATAGTTAATTAATTGTAAATTCACTTATTCACAGAATCCCTACAGTGTGGAAGCAGGTCATTCGGCTCATTGAGTCTACACTGACCCTCTGAAGAATATGCCACCCAGATGCACCCCATCCCTTTAACCCTGCATTTCCTATGGCTAATTCACCTATCCTGTACATCTTTGGACTGTGGGAGAAAACTGGAGCACCCGGAGGAAACCCATGCAGACACGGGGAGAATGTGCAAACTCCACACAGACAGT